AGATATCATCAATATTTGCTTTGGAATTGCTGCATCCAACCAAGATAATTGGTTCAAATGTTCATCAGTCAACCTCGTTCGATGTGCTGACTTCACATAATTCATTTTTGAAAATGTTTGCTCACAGACATAAGTTGTTCCAAACAATGATGCCATACCAGTGGCAAATTTCTTCAACTTTTAAAACTCATCATCAGGTAAGCAGCGATAAAATTCAACAAGTTTGTCTACTCTGTGCTTCTTTTCAACAAGTCATTTGCTTGCAAATCAATGAGCTCCAACTGTAGTTCGACTGGCACGTCATCGAGGTTACAATCAAATGGATTCTGGAACAGAAGAATGTCACTCTCAATTCTGTCGAGATCTGAAAATCTCTCCACAACATGCTTATTTAAGCTACTAATAATCTTCTTCGGAAACTCGAGATTGACATCTTTTGCTATTCCAGCGCGAAACTCTTTGAAACACTGAAAATGAAAGATGTTTCCTCCTTCCAGTTGTGCTTCAAACAATGATAGCTTTCTCCGAAATTCTTTGATGATTCTGTAGAGATCACAAATAAGGTTATCCTTTCCCTGAAGTTTCAATTTCAATTCATTCATGTGGGATGTGATGACAACTTTGACAGCCAGGTAGGATCTGACAGAAGTGGATCAGCTCTATCCTTTTCGGTGAGAAAAATATATATTTCTCTTCGGAGCTTATAAAAACGAAACTGCTGTGTGATAAGGCAACTCACAGAATTCAGAATCAACTTATTCAAGAAAAACCTGGAACTGGCGGTGATTAAGTGCATGACCCCGAATGAAGTTCACCTCAGAAACGACTGGTTTCAGTACACAAGAAATGTCTGAGTCTTTCCCACAGAGTGCTTGCTGATGTATAATGCAGTGTATAAACAGAGCGCCCGGGAGTTGAAGATCTTCCAACTTATTTCGTATTTGCCCCACCAGGCCCTTCCTCACTCCAGCCATGTTTTTCTCCATAAACTGTAACACATCGAAGCTGATTCCACTGAAGATTATAGCCTTGCAAAGTTTTCTGCACTTCTATGAAAATGTTTTCTTCAGTTGTTGTTCCGTGCATGCTGCAAATGGATGCCAACTCTTCTGTGATCTGAAAGTCCAAATTAACTCACCGAATGAACACGAGAAGTTGTGACATACTCGAGAGATCAGTAGACTCATCCAGCACCAGAGAATACCACAAGAAGTTCTTAGCTTTTTCGCGTATCTGTAATACCATGTTATCTCCAAGTTCTTCTATTCTCCGCACAACTGAACTTGCTGAAAGGCTGATACTTCCGAATAAATCGGCTTTCTCAGGACACAAGTCATTTGCCGCTTCCATTATACACTCTTTGATGAAGTTGCCGTCAGTAAACGGTTTTCCTCGCTCTGCTATCTTATGCACTATTTTGTAACTTGTACGAGTGACAGATTCATTTTCAGCAAACATTCTCGTGAAGAGATTCCTTTGAGATTCCAAAGTATATTTCATGAATTCAAATTTTTCAGAACGCAACTTTCCAGAAAACTTCGAATTTGTTGACAGATGTTTTGTTTCATAGTAATGCCGATGATTGTCCTCTTTCAAAACGGCAACACTTTCGTTGCATATCATGCAACTAGCTTTCTGGTTGTTTGTTTCCACAAAGAAGTACTTTTCTCCCCATTCTTCATTGAAAAGGTGACACTCAGCATCTACTTTCCTTTTCTTAGTAGCCATAACGATGAGTGAAGAAAACGGGATCTGAAAATGAAAAACAATTGTTTATTTACACATTGAATAGTCTACCAAAAAAGTTTTAGAAAAATAATCATTTTTCAAAATTTTTTGACATGTATATAAACATGACAAACTAAATGTAAATAGTTCATGACATTAAAGTACGTTATTACGTAATTGGCTTAAAAGTTTTTTTCCGCTAAGTTATTTGATTAAGCAATTTTTATAATTTGCCAATGTATTTAAAATTTATTATGTAAGTTAATTAGAAGAGCTTCATAAAAAGTAATTAAGATGATATTTAATAGAAATATTAAGAATCTTAATAGGCAAATATAGTATTAAGAATTTGATACTAATTTAATTAAAATTTTCGTTAATTTATTTAAGTCGTTTTTTGAGTGTATAGCGATTAAAATATAGGGCTTAAATAAATATCAAAGTTTGAAAATATTAGATGCTTACCTCTTGTGTGCTCTTTCGACACTCAAATATGCAAATATATGACATAATTCGCCGAATTCAGTCACACTTTTTAATCAAAGGAAACCTTGGCAAAGATATATTGCAAATCTCACGCAGAAAATAATCCAGTAATGTTTATTCATCCACAATATTAACTTAAATCTAAGAAATCCGATATTTCTGTAAACAATATTTAACAAGATACAATATATATATATATATATGTTATATTAAATAAACTCAATAAACCTTTATCTTATTTAATGACATGAAATCCTTTAAATACCAAACATTATTTCCTCATATCATAAATGATGTTTAAGATGTATGAAAGATAATGTTATTAATTATTCGACTATTTTATCAATCTCTAGTCTCTTCGTGGGTTCATTTATTGGGACGAGAAGTTCAGGAAGTAAAGTTTATGACTTGAGACATTTCATTTGATGCATTTGAAGAAAATGTATATTTCCTCATCTTTTCATCAAATTTTCTTACGTTTTAAGATGTCTGTGTGATTTTATCTAAATCTGGTGTTAATAATATAAAGATTAAAGAAGATACGTTCAGACTCTTGCTGTCTTCTGTATTACACAGAGAAGGACAAACGTCAGATGAGGAGTGGCATCGTTTGTACGGAAAATGTTCTGGTAACGAGATTTACCACATCCGACTAGGCGAAAGTCGCTTCTTTGGAGAATACGAAGGAAAGTGTTTTACGTTCGCCTCTTTTCACGCACACAGAAAGTAAGCTATTTCTAGTACTGTTAAGGAAAGTGTTTTACGTTCACTTCTTTTCACGCACACAGAAAGTAAACTATTTCTAGTATTATTGATAAGACTGTAAATTTCCTAATGTTTGTTCAAAGTAGTTTTGGTTGGAATTATTTCGTGTTAACCTTGTTGCATAAAGTCATTTCTTAACATTATTAAGATATAATAGTTTTGTTGTTGTTTTTGACTTTCTTATTGACCAGTCTTTATTACTGAAGAATTTGTTTGTTTGTTTGTGATTAAGCACAAAGCTACATAATGGGCTATCTGTGCTCTGCCCACCACGGGTATCGAATCCCGGACAGAAAGAAGCTATGATTCGTAGATTTAAATTTTACTGAGTTAATAATGTACGGTGGAACTACATGTCACGTAGTAGAATACTCAAGCTCAAATAAATGAGCAGCTTTGAGACGAGTGCACAAAGACTTGACACAGTTGTAAATAACTCAGATTTTTTTCCAAGCGTTTAATGGAAAAATGTTTTAGTCAAAAATAAAACAAAAAAGAAGCAATTTAGTTATTCAGAAACTTTGATTGTTTGAACGTATAAAGCCAGAATTAAATATGAGTATATATATGTTTTAAAAATGTTACTAGGCTTAACAAAACCTCATTCACAAAACCAGATGATGCTATTAAACTTGTTAATATATAAAAGTATATTTTTCCTACCCGGCGGCTCAGCGGTAAATTTGAGGGCTTATTACGTTATAAATCGGGTCTAAATACCTGTGGTTGACAGAACACAGGTAACCTGTTCTGTAGCTTTGAGCTTGCTTAACAACAAACAAAACATACAAACAAATATCTTTAGATAAAACCGTGTAGATTGATAAAAACTCATGAAAAATTATATTTAGGTGATTTTGTTAGCTCCTAAAATCAGATATGACATAGGTTTTTGCATAGCTAGGTATTAATTAAACAATAACGAAAACATGTTGCTAAAACTGTTTCTATCGATAGAGGCGTCATACCAGAAAGAGGAAACGTAAATTTAATAAGTGAATATTGAAATTTTCCTACGGCCTTTCGTTAGCATGATGTTCGACAACTTACTGACTAGAAAGATTTTTTTAAGTTTATGAAATTACACATAGAATGCATTAGTTCATAAGATTAATTGTGCATAAGATTTTGAAAGACATCATACTTGTGAAGTTTGGAAATGACATTTTACTTACGAAATTAATATTTATGTGTCAAATGATAAATACTAAGTCCATTTAAAATATTCAAAAAAGTCAATTGTTATGTCAGTCAGTTGAATATTAATTCGAATATGACGTCGAGCCTGATGATTATCTTCTATTTCATTAATTATGTAATGAATGAATACTTCATTTGATGCCCCCCAGTGGCACAGCGGTATATCTGCGGACTATACCGCTAGAAACCGGGTTTCGATACTCGTGGTGGGCAGAGCACAGATAGCCCTTTGTGTAGCTTTGTGCTCAATAATAAACAACTTCATTTGATACTTGAATAATAGTAAAGTCTTACAGGAGACAATAATAAATGTTATATTTAGTGACAATAATGTTTGATAAGATTTTTATTTTCTTTGGCTCTTTTATGATTTTATCCACTTAATCTTTATTTTTGTGCACATTTTTATTGTTTTTTGTTTTAGGAATTGAAGGTAAACTTTGTGTTTATTTTTGTTTACATACAAAGTTTACGTAGGTATTTCAAGATTAAAACTATTCTTTCTTTATTTTTCCACCATTTTGTTTCCTTTTAACTCTTGATGATTTATTTATCTAAGATTTTAATTGTTTTAGTTATCAACTTCAAGCACCTTTAGTGTTTTGTACATTCAGAAAGTGTTCTTACTTATACTACTATGAATAATAGATACGGAGTCGCTCTGGTTGGAATCCAAACAAATATTCAAGAAAACCAACCAATCATGCTCAACCCTGGGCCTTCTTACATCATGAAAAACACAGATATTTGTTTCTATATGAACATCACAAAGGAAGAAAACAGCGCCTTTCTGACAAGTGGAAATCGCAATAAAAATAAAGAAAGGGTTTTAGAAGGCACAGGCCAGATAATCCAACGAAGAGACAAAGAAAAGAAGAAGTCAGGTTAATCTATTATTTTGTAACTACTTTACAAGCTACCTAACGTTTTATATCATACACTCTACCGTGTTTGTGAATAGTTTTATTCCATTAACAAAATTCGCCTAAATATTACCATATTGGAACAGAAGTCGATACTTTACAACACCATATGTAATTAACAATCTACTTGGCACTTAGGCAATGACTAAAATAAATATGTTTGTTTAAGATTTTCGATTTTTTATAGAATTTCCTTAAAAACTGTCCTTATTCTTAAAAAAAAACTTATAAAACATTATTAATTATACCACAAAATATATTTGCATTTAGTCTTGCTGTTTATGTTTTCTCTACAAATCTTTGTTTAGATCCTTATTATTATTCTAACACTAAATAAATGTCCCATGGCGGCTCAGCGGTAAGTTTCAGTGCTTATAAGGCTAAAGTTCAGGGCTCGATCCCTATTGTGGTAATGACAGAGGTAGTCCATTACGCAGCTTTGAGCTGAGGAACAAAACAAACACTGAGTAAACGCATTTTTTTTTTGTTAGACGAAGGGAATTTGTATGTTTTTAGTTTTACTTTCATTTCTATAGTAGAAAACTGTAATGGAGTAACCCTGAAATTAATCTGAGTAAGAAAGTAAAACTATTTACAGAAGTTGAAACTTTGATGTTACCAGTAAACGCAATGATATTATTTATTTTCCTCTTTAAAGCTTTTTTAGAACACCATAGTTCAGATTTATTCTTACTTAAATACTGATTAACAATCGGCTTAGGTAAGAAAACGCATCTCGACGTGCCAAATGAAGGCGCTGTGGAGAGTTCAACGTCCAGAAATCGTCGTCCGAGTATAGGTGCAGTTCCAGACATAGTAGAACAAGGAACCGAGGAGGTGGAAGACGACTTTAACAAAGAGGAAGGTTTTCATCAAATACCGTGGAGTGCTTCCGCAGAATGTTGCGAGTATGCATTGAACCCCATTGTACAATATAATCTACTAATTCTAGCAAAAATTGCACATATTGATAGTTTAAAGGACTACCTATTCTTATCCTTGTATGAATTATGAAGTACCTAGAGTACGTTATGTCAAACCAAGAATGGTTTGTTAAGTCTCAAAGATAATTCAACAACAATGTTATACTGACTGTCTGAGGAAATAAAGAAGTATTGAACGATAGTACAACAATGCATATCACGATGGGCAATTCAGTGTAGTTGTGTAACAATAGTGACTTGATCACCTATATCTGCTCCTAATTTTTAGCATCTGATTTCATTTCACATGTCAGACTTTTAAAAAATTACATGTGATAATGAATGCATCCCTATCACTTAATAGGGTATATTTTCACGAATTCTTTTCACATTAATATCTGCCGTCTCCATTGTAATCCCCCCGCTTGTGGCTCAGCGGAGAGTCTCAACCTTACAACGCTAAAAGTTGGGTTTCGATACCCGTGGTGGGCGCAGCACAGATAGCCCATTGTAGAGCTGTGTGCTTAATAACAATCAATCAATCAACCCTACTGTAATTTGTATTCTAATTGTACTGATTTGTCCTATGTAGGAGATACTAACTGTTCACCTTCCATAAACACTATGAAACTAGCACAAGAAATAATAATAGTAATAATCAGGTTTATGCCACACATAGCTTAAATGTAGGTAACTGCAGTAATGACCCCCTAAAATTGTTGATAATAGCTTGCTTCATCAGTTAAGGAGTAACTTCTAGGTACATAATTCCACATGGTACTAAATTCACTGTTTCTGGCCAGTTATAAACATAGAAGGAACATTGCTTCATACCACGTAATTGTACAGATAATATAGTACAATTAGAAAATACTTCACTTAGCACTATATGAAACTACCTTATAAAGTACTATGTAAGAATACTCCACCAACCACCTTAAGCTTGTAAGAATAAATACATTAACGTGCTAGAAATAGACGAACTCCTTGAACACGTATCATGAACCTCAAAAGGAACTCCACGAATAGAAATACAGGTGTGTACCATACAGGTACGTTAGTAAAACTTAAGTGATTGTGAAATGCCATTAAATCGTGAATTAAGTGAATTTAAAAGATGATATAGATTTATAGGATGTGTCGATTACTTTAAGTACAAATTACGTATGCCACTCCCACAAATGAATTAGGGTTGGATTGTTTTGAATTTCGAGCAAAGCTACATCAGGGCTATCTGCGGTAGCAGTCCCGAATTCAGCAGTGAAAAACTAGAGGGAAGGCAGCTAGTCATCATCACCCACCGCCAACACTTGGGCTACTCGTTTACCAACGAATAGTGGGATTGACCACCACATTATAATGCCTTCACTGCTTAAAGGGCGAGCATGTTTGGTGAACGGGGAATCGAACCCGCATCCCTCAGATTGCGAGTCTAGCGTCCTAACCACCTGGCCATGCCGGACGCAATGAATTAGGATCCTAACGATTATTGGCAAATTTTGTAAAGTAATGAAAGTCACGTCGTCCAGTTTGAAAGCTGTACTCAAAATAAGTGTGAAAGAAAACAGATGAAATTCGTGATTATTTTGCCCCAAATATCTATGGCTGTCATTAAATCTTAGGTTATCATAGAATATAAAATATAAATATGGCAGCATTGTGTAATACGTTCTATTTACAAATATAGACAAAACAGCGTTTACTTTACACAATAAAATAAATAAAAAATGACTCTACGTATTTCGGCAGCTTCCGCTACCATCATCAGGTGTAACAATCTAGTGCATTGTTTAATTAAATTTGAATTGTATCTTCCTTGTATTAAACGTTCAAGTATATCAACAGTATAACCTCTATCATTAACAGTAACTTTTATATAATTTAATTCCTTTTTTAAATCATGGGATCGGAACACATTTTAAATGCTCTGTTTATAAGTATGAAAAGTTGCTAACTTTTGAGAAAATGGATGGCACAATCTTTGCAGTGGCGGTATGAAAATTAAGTGAGGTTTTTGGTAAACAGTTGTAGAAATAGTTCCATTATTATTTATTTTTTCAAGTACGTCTGAGAAAGGTAAACAATTATCTTGTTCAATTTGAAAAATAAACTGCATAGCGTTATTTAGGTAATCAGCAAATATTTTTAATTCGGTGTATCCATGCCGCCAAACCAAGAAGGTGCCATCAACAAATATAATCCAACAATCAGGTTTTAAAATTCCATTATCAAGAGCAATACGTTCAAAATAGTCCGAATAAATATCACATAAGAGTGGAGAAAGAGGAGAACCCACGACTAATCCATTATTTTGCTTATAATATTTCTCATTAACTTGAAAAAAGAATTTTCAACACATACTCTGGTTAGATTAATAATGTCAATAATTTCAACCGGGGAAATGGAAGCTTGAATTAATGTATCATTAAACAAATAATAGCATCTTCTACTGGGACTTTAGTAAACAAGGAAACTATATCAAATAATACCAATTGTCAAAAGGATTTATATTAATGTTCTTAATTTAATAATAACTGTGGTACATGTGTCATGCTTTCCATATACAATTAAATTACATACACGGCCTCATGCAGCTATATACGTACGCATATAGTAGATTATGAGGCTCCATATAAACTACAGACTGCATTAAAACGATTAAGTGTGAACGGTTATACAGCCGCTGTTATTTGCTAGGTAGTCAAATTAACTTAAAACTATCCCACACAATGTGCAATAATACCCAAGAATATTAAATAATAATAAAGAAAAAGAAATGGACGATCCCTATTATGTACCACTACCGTGGTTCTTGCTAACACTATATGGTGTTTAACAGTTATAAATCTAGTGAAAAGGAAACGCAGTAAATGGAACAAAGTATCAGAAGACTTGAAATTAGAGAACCTACACCTCTTAAGTCTCACGTTGTTTTCTGTTTAGGCTAAATAATGCAGTAAAGTACATATTTATCATCAATTCTTTCTTCAACACATTTCAAATGGTTGCAGAAGGCATGTGATTTTGGATTTATTTGTTTTCCTAACAATCTAATCAAAGAATGTGATGTTGTGGCACTGACTTTTTTGTTGTTAATTTCAACCAGAATCGTTAAGGGATTCCCTCCAGCGACCCCTTACATCGGAGTCAGCCCTACCTTCTGTTACTTGTTGAAAGAAAAGAAACCTTTTTGCTGCTTACAACTTGCTCAAGTAAGTGAGGAATCTCTATAATTAGAACGTAAAGCAGGAAACTGAAAATAGTAACTGGTTGATAAAATAGTTAAACCATACAACTTTATTCAAGCTCAGCCAATTGTAAGACAGTTAATGTAAAATAGAATTAAAGTGCCAATTTCATTATTATCAAACGAGATTATTTAAACTGATAAGGTCAATGCTTTGAATTTTCAGGGATTCTGAGGTATCAAACATTGCTATTTATTATATATTATGAACAAGTGTTTCGGTTGATTTAAGCTTGTACTGAATGAAAACTAATAGCATATTCTAACGAAAAATTTGCAGGATATAAAATAATTTCAATGAATTCCTTAGCATGTTAGCTGTAAGCTAAATGAAATAACTAAACAGTTCATAAACAGTCAGAATCACACATTATAATACGTTTCTTTCAGATAAAGTTATGGTTCATTTATTTGTATAACTTATTGGATTTAAGTGAAAAAAATACCCCCTTGCTTATGTACATCTGTAGATGTGTGATTACTTAGATGTTAATTTTATTCTTAAAATTGCATTATATTCTGTCGTTTGGAAATTAGTAAACATTAAATAAGTTAAAAGTGACGAATTATTAATCTCAAAAAAAACCTTATGACCTTATCTACGTTGTTTATCTTAACGTGACTAATGAGAATTAATTAGACGGAACTTTTAGGCCTAACCAAAAAATTCAAATTCCTTAAAAACCTGTGTTACGTATTAGGATTTGAAATAGCCTAATATTGCGTAAATTATAAATTTAAATTTAGTAGTTAAATTTTACTTTGGAGTTAGTAATTAAGTAAAAGCCAATGTATAGTCAGTTAATGATATTTGCCAACAAGATTGATACACACAGTTTTCTTTTAAACAAATATGTTTTAATATACATACAACAATACAATTTACAATACCAGTTGTTACAAATAGTTATTACAAACAATGATCTATAAACAAAAGTTTCACAAACTTACAAGCAATATAAAGTCTTCCTTTTAGTCTGGAACTTCTTTGGTATCTTATCGAGGGTTCACGATGAGCGAGTTGATTACGAGTTGACGTAGGTATAATTCCCTTAATGGGAAGCTAGCTAGCTATGTCCTTATTATTCACTAGCCACACACACACCGGGTTTTCCACAGTGACGTTATGTAGTGTTTTAGAAAAAATACTATTGTCCGATGAGAACCCATTGAAGTTAAATGAGTTGTAATATTCGAACTTTGTAAATGCTCCTGGTCAAATATCTGAAGTTTTCCGATTGACAAGCGTTATAACAATCACAGCTAGAGCTTCCAAAGTTTATAGCACACTGACTATAGCAAACTAATAATAGATACTCTCTTTGGTGCGTCGCATTGGTTATATTTATAGGCGAGTGGAGGCTTTCTAGAAATTTCAGTTGTACTTAACAATACTGACGCTAACACAAGTATTTACGCAATACATATTTAACAGTATAAGCTATGTATGTTTCTAAATATAAGTTTAATCTAAACAAATGTTGATATTAAAATAAATATATAATAACAAATTCGTTACACTTGACATATATAATCTTTACATTTTTAACTTCAGGAACTATCGTGTTATTTAATTCAAATTTGAGCTTCACAAAACTCATATAAGAAACTTGTAATGACACCTAGTGTACTATTTTAGTTAATATTTTAACAGGTCTGTGACCACTGTTCCTTTCGGAATGCTAAAGAGTACGATTGGAGTAATCCATGTATAATTCTGGCAGCAGATTTCGCAAGCAATGGGATCTACAATTTCATTGTTCCGCTCAGAGCTCACTTCCGGAGTCTTCAGTTTCTTAAGCCCATTATTTTGCTTTTAGAAAAAACGTATGTCTCTCATGTATTATTCTTTTTACTTACTTGATTAATCAATTATAAAACACTAACTAATGTAAAAAGATAGACCATGAGATACTAAGTTCTGAAAATCTGACGTATATTTTTAAGGTCTTAACACTACTTAGAGAAGTTTGGTTTCATTTGTTGCTATTCATAATGTAATATCTGTAAAATATAAAATCGTGAAAATATAAAACAGAAATAATTGTTGTTACTCTTTTGTTAATTATTCAACTAATTAGGCATTTGTTAATTTCCTTATTGTAAATTACCAACATTCTAAAGTATTCCTGTCTTATTACAGACCAGATCCGGCTTTTCTTCATGCCATTTCCTGGTTTCCTTTAGTTTATTGGATGCAGGGCTCTATTGATTAGTAAGTTTTCTTAGCATGAAGAGGAAGAAAACGCTAAGTACAATAGATATATTCCTTACTACACTAAGTACAAATAACATATTCCTTATTACACTAAGTACAATAAACATATTCCTTATTACACTAAGTACAATAACATATTATTTATTACACTAACTACAAGTAGCATACTCCTTATTACACTAAGTACAATAAACATATTCCTTATTACACTAACTACAATTAACATATTATTTATTACACTAACTACAAGTAGCATACTCCTTATTACACTAAGTACAAAAAACATATTCCTTATTACACTAAGTACAAAAAACATATTCCTTATTACACTAAGTACAATTAACATA